CAGTAAAATTGAAAATAGACATACAATAGAAGACAAATAATAGAGAAAATCACAAAGCTCAAAGTTGAATATTTTAAAAGAATAAATTGATAAACCACTAGTAAGCGTGATTTTTCTAAAAGGAGAGAAAATACAACTTACAGATAATATCAGGAAAGGGGCTATTACTACAAATCCTACAAAATGTTAAAAGATAATAAAGGAATATTATAAACAATTTCATAGAAATATATTCAACAACTATAAAGGAAATAAATATCTAGGCATGTTACTATATATAAATTATATTTCACTAAAAAGTACACAAGAAGAGCTTTGGTTCAGCATGCATCTAGATATTGTATTAATCATGTGGGCCTATCCTTAGGTAAAAGTCCCAAAGAGACTATGTTTTATATACATTATAAAGAAATGACTATATTTGGTCATAGAAATTTGTGACTCCTAAGTAACGGCAAAATGTCTTTAATTAATCTGTGTTCTTCTGTTCACTATACTGTTTACTTGCAGTCAACAATTGGAGGCATAAGGCCATCTGGAAATGTTGCAAGAGTGCCATTAGTGGTAATAAATAGTGATAGGTGTTTACTGTATAAGTTGAGAACCAAAGCCAACAACTGCAAAGCATTTGAGAAGAGTCCAATTCCACAGAAGCTCTTTTACAAGAAGACTAGGAAGTTGACAATGCAGAGCTGATGCTGGATTATTTTTGGATGGTGATGGAGGTTATTTTTCTAGAACCAAAATAAGGTAACCATTGCAGAATCCTAAGGGAAATTTTGCAGTGGAAACCTCAGTAGAATATTTGGGATAAAGGCTTGTTGAAGTACTCCTTGCCATTCTATGTGCGTTCGTCTTTTAATGTTTTTATCAGCAATGTTATCAAACTGTCATAACACAACCAGAATCCCAGAAAGTATCATGAAGAGTAGAGAAATTCCCAGAACAACAGAAAGCCCAGAAGACACTGTGACTTATTCCCCCCACTTTCTACCCCTATAAACCAGCATAGTGCTATGCTCAACAAATAGCAGTGGCCATGAATGAATGATGGGTGTCTTCACCCATCATTCATTCGACAGTCACCTGCTTGATGCCAGTTATTAAGTGTAGTGGGAGTTGCAAAAGGAACACAAAACATGTGGCCTGAAACCCTTAGCTTCTAAATAGGAACACTGGCAGACATGTGAAATCGCCAAGGGAAACAGGCACGCTGTAATAGCAGCCTCTCTTCATAGGATTCCCAGCCTCTTTCATTTCCCAGGAAGATAACATTTCACTTGGTAATAACCAAGTCCTCAGAGAGGTTCTTATCATCCCTTAAAAGATCTTTCTTCCAATGTCCTTCAGTTTCCGAGAACATAAAGAATAGACCCTTATTAATAGTTCCGTTACCCCAGAACTAAAATACACCGACAATTCCTATGAAACCATCCGTTTTGTTTGCTTAGATGTGGGTCCTTCAAGAAGGGCAGAGAGTAGGGAGATGGGGCCATGTGTTATTTGATCTTTTGAGCAGTAAGGGCGGTATAATGGGGAGGTTGTGATCACCACTCGCGACTAGTGAGTTTATATCTTGCCAGATAAAAAGCTTCAAGGATAAGGACATTTTCCAAAACAGCTTTGCTTGTTCTGGTACCAAAAAAATAGAAAGCTTAAGAAAATACTTGTAAAGAAAAGGAAATAGGCTTAGAGAAAATAGTCCAGTTCCCAGACTTTATTTGGCAGGGAAAAAATACAGTGAAGCCAAGCAAACTTTTCCACACCCCCAAGATGCCTTTTTTTTTTTTTTTTTTGCCCGCTTTTTAAATCTCAAGTCTTAACACAATAGTCCACTTTTAGTGTTACCCAAATGTCCCAGACTTCTCTAGTCAATGACCAAAGATTTAGATCACATTTACTTTTAATGTCCAACCTTCTCCCACCTGACTGTCAGAAATTAGCCCTCTGCCACACAATGCCCCCAGCTCTTATGAGGGATTCTATGGTGCCACCTCTGTGTGCTCACATACAAACCCCAATTTTCCCATCCCAGCCTCCTCCTCATGTCCCCTTGCCACTACTTCTGCTTCTGGGACCCTCATAAAACTGCCAACCCACGAGGCAGAGCTCCCCCCTGCCAGGTGACTATGGTGCCTTGCACTGCCACCTACATGGTCTTGGTGGGGGGCACTGTTCTCATCTTTATCTTCCAAGATATATGCTCTTTCTCTTTACCAAACAACAGAGTTTGAAATTAAAGTATGCCTTTTGATAGGATTTTTTGGAATATTGGAGGTAATGTAAGAAATAGAACATAGAGAATCATGTTTAACCGCCACATGGGCCCAGACTTGTCAGTGACCAGGTCTGGCCAATGACCAGGTCAGGTCCTGCTTGACCTCCCTCCACATGGCCAAGGGAAGCTCATCCCTGCCCCAAAATTGGCTTCTTCCCAGAATAATTAACAATGGAGACATCCGTTCCCTCCACTCACCCCTTCAGTAGGCACAGAAGATATAGTGGGGACCAAAATAGTCATGGCCCAGTCCTCATGGAATTTACAGTCTAGAACTGAAGCAAACAAAACCTAACGAAGTCTAGAACTCAAAACAAACAAAACCTAAACAAACAATTGCATAATCAAATGTTATTCGTTATAAAATGTCCTAAGTGCCATAAAGCAAAAATTGTGGGGTACCAAGAAAAAGTCTAATAGAGGAAGACAATTCAGGTTAGGAAGTTCAGGTAAAACTACTCTGAGCAAGTGGCGTTTAACTTGGGACTGAAGGCTGGGTAAGAATTAGTCCCATGAAGAGCTGGTCAAATAGTGTTCCCAGGCAGCAGTGATTGCTGATATGAAGTGACTATTGGAGAAGGGGGGTTGGGAAGACCAAGGTAGCTAAAGGCAAGAGAGTGGGGGCAGAGTGATGTGAGATGAGGCTGGACAGGGGGGCAAGAGCCATCCACATAGGCAATGGAAGGTCATGACAAGGATTTGGGATATAATCCCAGGTATAATGGACTGCTGTTGAAGGGCTTTGAGCCGGAGAGTGAATGCCATGATTTGATCTGTACTTCAAGGATATTCTTGCAGCCTATGGAAAAAGAATGGAAAAGGGGGCAAGAGGCCAGTCAAAAGAGAGCAGGTGACCACCCCAGTGGCTAAGCAAGAGATGATGGTGGCTGGGACAATGGTGTTGGCTGAAGAGACAGAGAAGTCGTCCATTTCAAGACATGTTTGAAGTAGAACCAACAGAATGTGATGATGGTGAGGGGAGAGTCAAGGTAGTGGGTCAAGGAAGCCTTCTAATTTCTGACTTGGGCAGCTGGGCGTGTGGTCTGATAGATGGGCATTGAAAAGACAAAAGTCAGTTTCCAAAGTCTGAGTTACTTGGTATTAAATATTCCACCCATGAAGCATCAGCAGCCCAGGGACAGGCTCAGGCAAACTCCTTTTCAGTTTCTCTTTTAAAACCTCCAGCAGTCTGGGAATCCACCCTCACCCACAGTCTCCCCATCACATCGGTTTTAAAGAAAGATTACTATTTTATTTAGAATTCCCCCTCCAAGCAATGCCAGGATAAACATTAGAGAAAGAGAGAGCATTTATCATCCTAATTAAAAGCAGGGCCTCTGGGATTAAATCCCACCTCTGCCACTTACAGGAGCCTTGGGTAAGTTCTGTAACCGCTCTGTGACTCAGTTTCCTTGTCTGTGAAATGGAGGTAACAATAGTACTACCGCAAAGAGCTGTCATAATGCTTAAGTGGATCAACTGTATTTCCTGTATTTAGACAGAGCCTGGCATCGTAAGTTCCCAGAGCCATAAGTTCCCAGACAGCGTTAGTAATTACCATTGCCTTTCATTGATGCAAGCTTCCCACTTCTCTAGCGTTGGTCCATCCTAGGATGCTGCTTTGCAGAGAAGAAAACCTTTCGTGAGTCAAACAGATTTGACTTCAAGTCTCCACTCTGCTACTTAACCTCTCTGAGCCCAAGTTTTCTTACTTGTAATGTGAGGGCAGTAATACCCACTTTGAGTGATTATTATGAGAATGAACCAGAAATCTTTGGTCACTACTTTGTATATAGTGGATGCTCACTAAATGTTAGGTTTTTGCTATTCAAAAGGAGTCTCTCTTCCTAATTTAAATAGAGCATCTCCACCCTCTACCACTAAAAAGACTCCGGTGGGAGAAAGGCAAAATTTCAAACCCTTCATAGGGTTACAGTTTATGAATAAAGTATGTGAATCAGAAATTATACTTTGGTATCCTTTTTGGTACTATATGGAGCTATTTTAAAGACAGGAACATGAATGTAGGCTTTTTACATCCCAGAGAGAATGGTCCACAAAGATTGCATTTGGCCCCCGTATCATGTATATTTCCAACTGCCAGTTGGACTCCTTCCCAATGCCATATCCCACTTCCTCTTCCTGCCCGCACTGTCACCTTGAACAAACCGAGTAGGAAAACACAGGCACCGGCCCACAGAAAATACTCTTGGCTGTCCTGGAAAGTGGAAGATTCCTTGGGCTTTCAGTTTCCATTTCCTTTGGCACACCCGTGCGGGTGGCAGTTTGCTCTAGACGCCACCCTCTCCCACCTGCGTCCTTGTGGTAGCCTTTTCCTGGGTTCTTGGTTCTCACCTCTTTCTGGCTCCATGAGCCATTTGCATTGGTGCCTAAGTTGCTGTGTGTCCCATCAGGAGCAGCATTTAAAGACTCATTTCCAGTGTAGAAGGGAAATGCTATCTGTGTTAAGGGAAAGGAAAGTGTTTACAAGCAGATGGAGATTCCTGCAAAAGAGTCTTTCCCCTTAAATCCTTGAAATTTCACACATCCTATGCTATGGCTGACCCTGAATGGATAATATAAAGGCCTTCCCTTTGATAGGCTTTTGGGGAATTCGTGGAACTATATAGCAGTATCCACAGAGGTAAGACCAGTACGTATGACTACAGCAGCAAAGTAAAAAATGCTCGAATAAGACTGACAGAGTGTCTTTGGATTTCAGAGAACAAATCCGTCAAGGCCTAGAAGAACTCCAGAAAGTTCTGCCAGGAGGAGACACTTACATGCATGAAGGATTTGAAAGGGTAATTTTAAAACAGTTTTAAATCCAAATATAAAGTGTGATATTGAAAAATCAACATAGGGTGACTGATGAGGTAAGGCACATATATTAAAAGGGCTGAATAGCACCCAATAGCAAGAGAGTACATTTTCTTCCCATAAGCTTGTACACTGATAACTGTATCCAAAAGAACTAAAGAAATGGATTCCCTTCCTCCTTCTCTGACCCTGATGAATGGGTTGTTAGCTAATAGTTGGCTGGCATTCACAAATTCCTGCCACACACAAGTCGCTGCCATTCCAAAAATGTCCTTCACTGGATGTCAGCTTCAGTGATTGAGGCAGAATTTCAGGGACTCCAGCTTTAAGGGAAGCAAATGCTAGGCCATAAGGAATAAGACATCGATCCATGTTGACAGTTACAGTCATCTGTCACTTAGCAACAGGAATACATTCAATGAAGTGCCTTGTTAGGCAATTTTGTCATTGTGATAGCATCATAGTGTGTACTTACACAAACCTAGATAGTATAGCCTATTACACACCTAGCCATATGGTATAGCCCATTGCTCCTTGGCTACAAACTTATACAGCATGTTACTGTACTATGCATTGTAGGCAATTATAACACTAATGATGCTTGTTTCTAAACATAGAAATGGTAATCCATTGAACTACAGTGTTACCACAGCTACGATGTCAGTAGGTGATTGGAATTTTTCAGCTCCATTATAATCCTAGGGGACCACCATCATATGTATAGTTTGTCCTTGACCAAAACATTGCTATGCAGCACACGACTGTATACTACTTAAATGAGAGAGTAACTTTACATGGATATCAGCCACTGATACTTGAGCAAAGCCTGGGTGAATTACATAAGGAATCATGACTGAATTGACTGCATATTCAACAACAGAGCCCATTATCCACTATGGTTTTTGGAGTGGCAAACCGTGGTTTTAAGTCTAATGGCTCGTTCATGTGTTTTTCAGGCCAGTGAGCAGATTTATTATGAAAACAGTCAAGGTAAGACTATAGTATAAATTACGCCTATGAATTATTTAACTTGTTCCGTGTTTGTTGGTAAAAAACAGTAGCTTCAGTAATTTCATGTTTCAGAAGACATGTATGAGATTATCTGTAATCCTTAGACACACATTTCATCACAAACAAGGAATGCATAGAAAGGTGGCATGTATTGGGTCAAATTCCACTGTCCTGTTGATGCCAAGAAAAGTTATCTAAAAGTAATTAAGTCCCATTATGGCCACAGTCTAATTCCCATGAATAGTTTTGCATGTTGAATTCATTAAATTAGTAAACACTTGCATAGGTTAGTAAAGTCTTGGATTTTTATGTAAAACTTAATTTTCTTGTCCTCCTCTGAGCCCCAAGCCTCTTGATTGCTGTGACTGGACATAACATTAAGATCAAGATACCAGTTTGAATTAACTTTGTTTTATTTAAATGAAAAAATTATGTAAAATGTACTTCGTGTAGAAATTTTTATTATTATTTTAGCTATTATTACTATAGTTTCTCTCATGAGTAGCATTTCTGTATCTCAGTCAAATCTCTTAAAGAGGAGATTCAATATTACAGTACAGATTTTCCTTCCAGGCCTGGAGAGGTGTCCATTTCTTGTTTCATTATAAACTACAACAAACAGAACAGATTCAATATCAACACCAAATCTTGCTAATATAAATCAACCATGATATGAGAAGCCTCAAAATCTCTGAAACAATTCTAGTAGGTTTTGCCAATTGCTATAATTCTTCCAGTCGACTTGTAAATCATAATGACTATGACTTTCCACCAAACTGTCTTCAAGGGGTGGTATGTATGGTCTATTGCAGCAGGTGGCAAGGACTCCCGAACAGCCCAGGTGGGAGTTTGCTCACAGCTTGGGCAACAGTTATATGTATGCGAATAGAAAATAATCACACTTGATTCACTGGTGCTAATCCCAAGTGTTGGTTTAGTGACCATTTCACCAGGTTTGGCCATTTTTCGAGATGAGGCTGAGAAATGCAAAAGCAAAACCTATTCCCCATAAAGTCTGTCTCCGTGGAGGGTTCTTCTTCATGCTGGAGTTGCTTCCAATTCCAAAAGAAAAGTTGGTGATTCTCAGTGTTGACTTTGGGCGGTTGAACTCCTAAGAGGTCGAATCCTGGGACTGAGAGGTGTTTCCCTGGGTGAGGCAGGGTGGACTGAGACAGTCTGTATTGTGTTAAAACAGGATACAGGACAGCCAGCGTCATCATTGCCCTGACTGATGGAGAACTCCATGAAGATCTCTTTTTCTATTCGGAGAGGGAGGTAAGCGACAGCCTAGCTGTGTCTAAACATATACATGGAACAGGGCTTCTTTCTGTGGGCCACACTCTCTCTACTAAGGTGATAGGTGTTCTTTGCAAATCCCCTGAATGAAATAGAGTTGCATATGTAGAAATAATAATAATAATTCACGTTTTACAAGTGAATTTTCATGTCTTACACATGGTAAATGGTTTCCCCTTTCAAAATTTTTGCATATGATTCTGTTTTGAGGGATTAAAAATATCTACCCTGCCTTTATTGATGGTGTTATACTGTTCTAACAGTTTTTAAATACTGTATATCACTTATAAATAAACATTAATACAATTTTTCCATATATTTTCTACTAAAACAGGAGGAAGGGAATTACTTGAAATCTGTAAGAGCCAATCTTGTCAGAATGTATTTATCATTGAGATTTGCACTCTTAAGAACAGAAGTTAAACACCAATTGGTAACAAAGTTAAATTGTTATTTCTCCTGTAATAGTTCCTTTTTTCCTTTTCTTTGTGTTTTCAAAAATTATTCCTCAAGGCAAGTGGAAAATTTCCCTAAATGAAGATTTTAGCTTGTATAAGTAGACGTAGAAAAAGAAGTTTGCTAAAGAATTGAAAACTAATGTTTATACTTAGGAAATCTTTTCAAGTTTCACATTCACCTATATGCCTAATTGGTATGAAAGGAAACAAGTCATCCATAGAAATGTACCGAAACCATAGCCTCACGAGTGACAAAGGGTCATTCAGGCCCCAGGTAAAAAGAAACAACATCCTAGAGATGCAGGCTCTGAGAGAGAAGTTAATGGTAGCATCACACTTACCTCAAGCTCTTAACAACTGTTTACTTCAAATTCAGCTCTTTCCGCAAACACGAAGTATATATTCATTCGTTTATTCATTCAGTGTTAACTGAGAGCTTGGCATATACTTGGCCATTTGCTAGACACTAGAGGCACAGAGGTGAGTGAGACACAGCTGCTGCCCTCATGAGTCTTACCATGAAATAATAATCAGCCTTTTGAAGCCTCCCCTGACAGAGGGCTTAGGGAAATTATGTAGGTAAACTCCTTCCACTAGTACAAAAGGCAACTCCAACGAGGAAATACACAAGGTAATATGACAGACACTCCCTGAGAATTTGGAAAATAATACATCTCTGCATTTGAAAGTGGAAACTCACTATGTGATGGGAATGCAAGATGGCTTGTTTAGGTACCAAATAACAGTCAAATAAAGTAAAAACCCTAATAAGGAAAGAACTGAAACTAAAATAAATGATAGTGTCAGAGTCTTAAGATAGGGGTTAGTGGGAAGGAATTTTAGGTATGGCACATACAAACTTAGAAAAATATTCAGAGTGCCAATGCCAATATAAGGAGACCTTCTGAAAAAGAAAGATAAAGCTCAAGATATAAAGGAATTGAACTTCTCCCTTCTTGGAAACTCTATATAAAGTCCAACTGGAGGAGAAGAATCACAGAGTTGATGTAAATAAGGCTGGAGCTACGCTGAGTCTAAAAGTTAATTTTATCCTAAAAGTAGCAGGGAATATTTCTAATATGAAGGAAAAAAGACATATGTTTTTGTCCCTTCTAGAATTCAGTGTTAAACAGAAGTGGATTTGAGTACTAAGAAAGGGAAAAAGTAACACAATTCCAATCAATATGCGTATATTGAGCACTCATTGTATGTTTGCTATCAGTTATTAAGAACACATTGTATGCACCAAGGATTTCCAATATTTTTCTCCATTCTGACACTGGAGAATCTGGAAATCAGATTATCAGAGCCTTTAATAAAAATGTGCTGACGTTATGAGTATCCACATGGTTCTAGCCTTGTGTGAGGAGCTCTGTAAATGTTCTTTCATTTAATCCCCAAAACACTTTACAGAGAGCAAAGCCAGGTGTCAAACTCAGGTATATCAAGTTCTAAAGGCCCCATTCTTTTGTGATATCACACCCCTATTGTAAAGAAACATATATCAGTAAAAATCCATCAGAGCAATTAACCATTTCCCCAGAATATTTAACTTAGCCTGCAGTTTCCCTTTCCTCCCCTCATCTTTCAAAGCCCATCACCAAAGTCTCTACTTTGGTGGGTCTTTTTCCACACTTCCCATTGGAGTAGCCACTCCCCTCAGTTCCACCATGTGTTAGGTTACAATGTGATATCCACTGAAGTCTGAGCTTCTTGGGAACAGGGATTGCCTTCTCCAATATGGCACCTTGTACCTGGTAGGTGCCCATTAAATACCTCATAATTGAAGTTAATCAGGCAGCTCCAAAAGGAGTTCATTTGTCATTACTTCTCTTTCTAATGTCCTCTCTTTCCTTTTCCCAGGCTAATAGGTCCCGAGATCTTGGTGCAATTGTTTACTGTGTTGGTGTGAAAGATTTCAATGAGACACAGGTATGGTCATGGACTTTCTCAGGTTTAGAGCATACTGAGCTTGTGAATGATGGAGAACATGTTTAGTGAGTGCGGAGGGCAGATCAATGGAATCAATGCCCCTGAGATGGGTTACTTTTCTAGAAATCCTAAGCAGGAAGGACTTACTGGTTATATAAGGAATGTTAAATCATTTGCTGATGCACTTGAGGTCTTCAACACAGACCATCAACGCACCATCTGTGTTGGCAAACATTAAATTGCCAAATGTCAAAAACTATCTGAATTAACTTGGAAAACTTGGGTTTTTTGTTTTTTGTTTTTTGAGGCAGGCTCTCATTCTGTCATGCAGGCTGGAGTACAGTAAGCTGTCTCAGCACACTGCAGCCTCTGCCTCCCATGCATAAGTGATCCTCCTGCCTCAGCCTCCTGATTAGCTGGGTCTACAGGTGCACATCCTGAGTAGCTGGGACTACAGATGCACACCACCACACTTAGCTATTTTTTAAATTTTGTAGAGATAAAGCCTCACTGTATTGCCCAGGCTGGTCTCTAACTCCTGGGCTCAAGTGATCCTCCCAGCTTATTGAGATTATAGTCGTGAGCCACAACACCTGGCTAAATTTAATTTGACAAGTATGATTTTCTTATTCAAATAACAAACGTTCTGTTTCACCCATTAAAAATACAATGCATTTTCAACACAAAAATATGGAAATAATTGTGCAAGTGGGCAAAAAAGTGTGTACAAGTGCATATAATAAGCAAGTTGTAAAAACTTACTAACAATCTAAATACATGTTCCTCAATGTACTTCATAGTTTCTTTTTGTTTTAATGGCACAGGAAAATGCTTATGATATATCATTAAGGGAATAAAACAAGATTACAAAGCAGTAAGAATAGTATGTGCCTACTTCTAACTAAAATAAACATATGTATGTTTGCATAGAAAAGTAGGAAGAATGGTATCTATCAAATGGCTAATAAAATAGATGATAGATGAACAGACAGAAGGATTATGAGTAACCTTTGTTTTCTTTTTATTTTGACTCTCCTGAATTTTCCTAAGCTTTTACAACAAGTATTACTTTTGCAATCAGTAAAAACAATAAAACATATTTTTTTAGAAGCCACATACACCCGCTGGCACTGACTCTGTTGCCACAGAGTCACAGAACTGCTCAGAGATCTGGGGTCAGACAAGCCCATACATCGGCTTCTCGTAGCCCTCAGTTTCCTGCTCCATAAAGCTGGAGCACCTGAACCAACCACAAGGGCCCTTTCTTCAATGGGTAGTTTGGTTGAAAGGTGAAGGTGGCCTCACCCAACGCCAAAGTTTGAATTTAAGTTTGCCCTGAAAGGGAACTTGAATCTGCTCGATTCAGATAAAGCTGCCAACAGGAATTTGGGTGAATGGGAGAAAAATGAGCCCATGGTCTGTGCCCAGATTTATAAACATACCAATCCAGGCCAAGCGTTCATCAAGCTGGGCACTCCTACCTCTGCTCCTGAGGAGAAAAGTGTTAAAACAAATGTAAAAGCTGTAGCCAACCCTGGACCTGCTCCAGAGGCCACTGGTGAGCTTGTTATTACTGACGGCTTTTCAGGGCAGCCCCTGAGCTCAGTGAAGGCCTCATATTCCCCTAGGTTCTGAATATAACTAGAGCCTCCTAGGCCCAGCGACCTTCCTAAGTTTTCCACATCCAAGCCTAACACGTGTGTTTGCTGTGTTCTCAGCTGGCCCGGATTGCGGACAGTAAGGATCATGTGTTTCCTGTGAATGACGGCTTTCAGGCTCTGCAAGGCATCATCCACTCAGTAAGTAGAGCTCTTCCCCTGAGACTGGACATTCAGGCACCTTCTGTCTCCAATCTGCTATTAATACCCAATTCCTTCTCTCCAAGCCTGGTGTTTTTCTGCTCAAGAGAACAACATTTCTTCCTATATCTTTGTGTCTACCACGTCCCACCTCTCCCTTCTGCCTTCCACGCATATTTCTTTCTCAATTGTACCCTGCAGTGGAAAATTAACAATTGAAAGGGGGCACTGGAAAGGCCTTGAGTCAAGCTTCAGGCAGCCCTCTCCTTTCTCCTAACTGGGTAGACTGTGACTGGTGGTTTAGACTGTGACTGGTGGTTTACGCTTGACCACCTCAGCTTTCCCAACATGACTGAATGCAAGCTGCCTTCAGAGCACTTATAGGCTGGACTTACATCACTTGGTCATTGGATGTACTTTAGACCAAGATGCCCATTGAAGTCATCTGCAGAGATATAAAAAGCACTGCTGCCTAGGCATCTGGTCTAGGGTGAAGGCTGGACCTCAAGAGTTTTTTTTAAAATCTCCCCTGGTGATTTGAATGTTGAGACAAGGTTGAGAACCACTGCTCTAGACCTACAATCCTCAAATACATGGGCTCCAGGGTTTGCACAGTCACCAGTCCTCCTTCACACACAGGTGATTTTCTACATCCCTTTTCCTGAATGGTGAACAGGACAGTGGCTTCCAGGGCTTCTATTCTCTACCTCCCACACACAGGCAAGGCCCTTGATCCAGCTGTAATATTGAATGCTGCTGTCTTAAAGCCTCAGCCAGCAACTCAGTATGTGTGCTGCACCTGCAACAATGTTCAGATGTTCTGCAGCCTCCACCTTTAGGTTTTGTGACCAGAAAGGCATCTGTGATCTTCAGTAGAAGCTTACCAGGCTCCAGACTGGGGGTCCAGGATGCAGATTCAGAGCTCAGGGGATCACCTTCCTCTTTAGATGTCAAGGGGGTCTTGATCCAGGGGTTACCGGCCAGGGGCTCAGCATCTGCCAGCTCTCCCAGACCAACCCAGGAAACCTCCAGCATGGTTGTGCTTCCATGCTGCTCTCCCTTCAAGGTTTGCCAGGAGCTCCAGCAGAGTGGAATGCAGAGTGAGAAATAAGAACCTCAGAGCCTGGCAACCCAGAGTTTAACTGGCCCATGTACTTACCACTTACAGATCCTTGGACACTTCTTGTTTGGAAACAGGAACCGATGATGACTTACATCATAGGCTTGTTTGAGGATTACAAGGATTACTGGTGAAAATTCCTAATATTTTTCCAGACACATAATAAGCACTTGAGCCATATGAATTATTGCCTCTTCCACTTCCTTTCCCATCATATGAAGGATATTAATGTCAGCTTCCCTTTATCCCCTAAACATTCTTGAATATGTATAAAAATCACTTGAGAATTGTTTGTAATACCTATTCCCAAGAAATTCTATTGCAATGAGTTTCAGATGGATCCAAGGAATCCGCATATTTTAAATCTGCTTTTTAAAAAAAAAAAAAAAAAAAGTGAACCAGATATGCTTTTAGAACACTGACATATCTGACCTTAAGCATACAGAATTGTGAAAAATCATCCCACCTCAGGTTGGGAATTTCTATCTTAATTATATTCCAATGATAGTTGTTTTATTCAAGAAGTTTGTTTGCAAAGAATATATACCTATTCAAACTGCTGTAACCAGAAAGTGAAAATTATTTGTAGGATAGAGAATTATCAGACCCAATTATGGGTCCCCAGGTGAAGGACTCCTCCTCTAAATTATTTCTGGGGTGACTGTGGCATACTTGACAGTGTAAGCAACACAAACTACAATAACCATGTAAAATAACAACCCGAAGGATGCAAAACACAATTACTAGTAGGAGTAGGGGCTGATCATGGATCCTTAAGAAGCTCAGAGGTGGATTATTCTGGGTGGAGTCCTCATGAGAAGGCAGGGCAGACCTGAATCGTTGAAAGGCCAGGGAAAGTTGATGGATAACACCAAATTATATGACCTCAGCCCAGAAGCTGGAAGACAGAAAAGCATATTTAGGGATCAATAATAATAATACCTATCCATCTGGTGGGACAGTTTGGGTAAAGGAGTCAGGAGTAATGGAAAATCAGCCTAAATATTGGGTTGAAACCAGATTAATACAAGCCTTGAAGGGCTTTTGGCTCTAACCTATAGGCAGTGAGTGTAATTACTGAAACAAGTTAAGGAAATAATCTGATGGCTGTGCTTGTGCACATAGGAGGGAGACTGGGGACACCCAGAGAGTGTAGGCCAATTAGGAGGCAATAGTCCTGCTTTAAGATGGCTAGATTCTGAACAGGAACAACTCTTATCTGTTCAAATGTTCTTATGAGCCGTGTGCCTAACACCAAAAGTTGGTTCTCACACAGATGATTAGACTCTTTTTGTATGTATAAATCACTGTTGTCCTTGAATATGTCAGCCTTAGCAACTCACCCAAGCTCAACATGAGCCCAAATGTTTGTAAAACTTCCTCCATCCCCAAATGGAAATAACTACAAAGATCTTTAAGAAATTTTAGCAAAACCATCTTTCAAAAAGGGAAGAAAAATAATTTGAGACGTCAGTGTCCAAACTTTTAGCTGCATGATAAAATTCTTGTGAGCTTTTATCTGTGAGTTATGCTAGTGGTTTTGATCCTTCCGGTACTCAAAATCCATGTTTATGGCAGTTGTTCCTTCATTTGCTTGGACAGAGAAACAGGGACAAAAGTAGAGCAAGCTCATCTTTCTCAAATCAGACAGAAATAATTATGGCCTAAAAGTTGGCAATTTTTAAGAAGTAAGTTCATTTCCCCTTTTGGATATTGAAAAGAAAACTCTCAATTTTCCCCCCATTTGAAGCCTCTATTCCAGCTTGTTCCCATGGATGTTGTTTTATGGCTGGTTATTTTCTCATAATAAAATAGGACTGGGCTTAATTATCCAAAATAAGATGGCAGAGCAGCTTCTAATAAGCTCAAATGCCTCACAAAGTTTTCTGCCCATTATGCTCATATTTTTAAACCTTAAATTAATATGCAGGGGCTAGTATTTACTCATTCATGAAATACTCATTAAAAACCTTTTGTGACAGGCTGTGACCATTCAGTAACAATGAAAGCAGGTAGAGGCTCTGTCCTGGTAAAGCTTACAGTCCAGTGGGAGAGACACATTAAAAACAACTAAATAAATAAATATGTATAAGTAAAATTGTGACAAATGGAATAAAAGAAATAAAATGGTCATGAGATTAAAAGGGTTGACAGAGAACCCAGTCTCCTTTGAAGAGATGAACTGAAGGTTGCAATGGAGCCATCCACTGGAAGGGCACAGATAGAATGGGCAGAGCACAGCCCAGGATAGTACATAGGAGAATGAAAGACCAATGCTTAAAGTGAAGAATGGCAGAAGATGAAATTAAGAAGCAGGCAGATGCTAAATCACCAGAGCCTTGAAGGCCATGCATTTACTCAAAGCACAATAGGAAACTATAGCTAGTCTGAGTCTGAGAGTAGAGCAATCAGGCTTGAAATCAAGACTCAGGAAATGTAGACATCATAGCACTCAGAATCAACAGCATTTCAGCCTTTGAAGAAGAAAACCCACTATGACTTGAACATGTTCTATCAGCTCCCTCTACCAGGTACTTCACCACCACTCCCTGAAGAAGGACTTATTATCCCCATTTTACAGGTGAGGAAACTGAGGTACAAGAAGGTTGGGTAAACCGTCCCCAGGTCTGCCCTCTTATAATGGTGGAGTGGGGAATTTGAACTCAGCTCTGGTTCCAGAGATTCTGCTCTTTTCATGACATTTGGCCATGAATGTCTGAGGAAATGGAAAGTCACCACTGGATTACCAAGAGCCAGTTGCCCAAGCCTTGGATTCATCAAATCCCCAGATGCCCTGCTTTCTCAATCTGATGCTCATGTTTGATCTTTCCAATCTTCTTCAATCCTCTCTCCTTCAAGAAGAAGTACTTATGTGTCAGATTTATATAATGTATGATTTTTTAAAACATACCCACTTGTTTTCCATGTTAGTGTCTTAACTGAGAAAGATAGGAAAAAGGCAGAAGGAAATTAACAGCTGTAGAGAACTTACTTTGGAACCAGACATTGCCCTTTTCCCGTATAATATTACCTCATTTAAAAATCATAACACAGGCCAGGCGCAGTGGCTCATGCCTGTAATCCCAGCACTTTGGGAGGCCAAGGCGGGTGGATCATGAGGTCAGGAGTTTGAGACCAGCCTGATCAACATGAGAAGCCCTTTCTCTACTAAAAATACAAAAATTAGCCAGGTGTGGTGGCACACACTTGTAATCCCAGCTACTTGGGAGGCTGAGGGAGGAGAATTGCTTGAACCCAGGAGGTGGAGATTGCAGTAAGCTGAGATCATGCCACTGCACACCAATGTGCACTGACAGAGCAAGAGTACATTTCAAAAAAAAAAAAAAAAAAATCATCTCCTGGAATCCTCACAGGTGCCATTTGATGTAGAAATCATTACCCCTTTAATAGAAGTAGATACTAAAAGCTCAGAGTGATTCACTAACTTCTCCAAGGCCACACAGCACAGTGAGTAGTGATCCCAAATAGATTCAAGTCTTTCTAATGCCCACGATGTGAATGCCCACCGTGCTTTACTGAACAATGCGGGCAGGCCAGGAAGCAGCTCCATTTCAGAGAGGAAGACACTGAGGACCGAAAAAGAGAAGTGGCTTGACAGAGGCAAGACCAGAATCCAGGTGGCCTGATCTGAATACACCATGGATGGGCAGGGGAGCACTTTGCCTTTTACTACTATCAGGTGGAAAGCACCTCCAGAAATCATTACTGCCCAATGGATGAAGTACCATTGTTCTGGGAAGCTGGAGAATTGACACAGGCTGAAAGGAGCTTCCACACATGTACTCTTAAACCCTTCCACACTTGCACGGGACTCTACCTCTGAGCACCATGACAGTTTTCCTACTCACTTCTTTAGAAT